CGGCGAGTTCGCCCTAGTTGTTTGCTGGCCATTACCTGGTCGCCGCCACCTACAGTAGGAACATTCATTTCTTCGTTTGTGTTTGATGGTCTCAGAACGCCAGTCAGTCTTTGCTCAGCTGTTCTCTCGACATTTCTGCACCGAGCGAGCGAACCAGGACTTTCAACATCTTTCAACCGCCTAATAATTTGCACCAGTTTTTTCGCTACACATCTGCCACTACCGTACGAAATTCATTTTCATCACTGCACGTCTGTTTGCTTAAGCCGCAAATGCACGTTCGGCCTCTGGTGACGAAACAAAACCAGTGCCTCTCATAATCGGGTGCCTTTCAGCCATTTCACGTAGGTTAAGTTACTTAAGCTTGGGGATGCCTTGCCGCATTTATGCACTAGCGTGGATAAGTATTGCTCTTATTTTTTATTTAAACCCCTTCATTTCGGAACGTCTAACAACTTAAAGCAACCTCTATCCAAAGCCCTGTGATTGGTATAATGAACAAATTCTGCGCATTGCAAACTTACGTTGGTATTGCAGTAAGAAGAAACGTGTTTCTCGTGTTGTCAATCATGAAATCAAAAGACCTATCAGCTTCGACGAACAAAGGATTAAAAACAATTCAAAGCGTGCCGCAGGTGCTTAAGCACATTTTGGAACCTTGGCCTGCTTAACAACCATGACCCCTATGCCTTTAGAAAAAAGCAGTGGTGTGATTTGACCATCAGTGCGTGTAATAACTTCCAATAGTCATCCTCGACGTAGTAACGGTTAAACCTAAAAAGTCGTTTAGCCCAAAACTTAAGCGTTTCTTTCAAGCGGCGTTCAGAATATCAAAAACTCAAACTCCACATGGAGAAACCGATGAATTCGTTTGACAAGATCTAGCACTACAATAATTTAATTATACTTTTATGCGTTGTACTGTATTTCATGGAAAACGAAGAGCTTGATGTTCGCCAGAACAAATTACAGTGTGATTATTTGGTGAATTTGCTAGGTACAAATGGGGCCAGCTAATCATAGCCCCACATCGTAGTTTTACTGACACAAGCAGACGAGAAGAACTGGTTTTCATTGATCATGAGCAGTTATCCCGTGCAAGGGGAAGAGCTTATGGCACACCTAGAAAGGCGCAACAGGCAGATGTCGTGAATGTGATACAATTCACAAAACGGGCGACATGAGAACATTGCTCTTAAGCTGTTGTGCTGACTACGTTAATGACCGGCAGTTCGTCATCTTAATGGAATTTAAGATTCACCCCTTTCAGGAAACACGCTCCAGTCGTTTCATTAAATACCTGATTCCTCATTCTGCATCTTAGCCAGGTATCTTCGAGTCTTCGAGATTCAGCTATCAAATGTAGAACGTAATGGCCGGAAAAATTCCTTAAGGTCATCGAGCAGTTCGCTAACATTTTGACTTCTAGGATCTGTTTGCTGCTATCACAGACATGGCGCTTCATCCTTACACGCTTGCTAGCTCTCATTCACATCGTCAGTACCGTTTCTTTTTTGAACCAATTCACTTTTCTCGCTTTTGGATCAATTCATAAACAAAAATATCGAAGATTTCTACCAAATTCGCGCATAATTAACTTGGTAAGGAAAAATTAAATTTTTTAAATCAGTCATGTGGCCACGAAGAAAGCGCTTTGTTCAGTTTCGAATATTTTTCTCACGGCTTCATCCTAAGTTTACTATGGAGATGATGTGCTTCCGAGTCATTTAGATTATGGTGTCGATTGGCACAGAAGGTTCTGTAACCACTTTCGTTTCCACACCAAATATCGTCCTGTGTCAATTTTTCACTGGTTCTAATCGTTGCCCCTGAACTGATTGTTCAAGAAAGTATGAAACGAAGGAAAAATCATGCCTGGTAAATCGTAATTCGCGACCTTCAGTCAATTACCGCATAAAGTGATGACCAAGTCCTTAATGGCCAGTACCCTATCATCTTAATGAAATTTTAGTCAAATCTGTTACTCCAACCACGGCAGCGATCTAATTCAGTGGATACCTCATGATCTTTGATGTTGTTCAACGGCGATAATCAAAATATTACAACTAATTTATAAACGATGACTGGTTCTCAATTTAATATAACATTAGAAAACGTACGGTGTCTTGAACATCACAATCTCTTCAGATCCCAAAAGTATTTTCAGTTCTCAATCACTGTTGGTAATAGCAACTCCGTGAACTTACTACTAGTTCCTTAATTAACGCGGTCCATAACCACGACTTGAACCAGGCCATATCTAATATTTAAAAACTGCTGTGCCGTCACCTTTGATTAGTACACTGCTAATGGTAATGGGTTGTTTGCCACCGGCAGACGGCTTATTTTTTTCCGTTGTAAACATATCTTTTTCCACAAGGCTAGCGATACTTCCTCTTCGTCGCCGTCGCTAGTCTGTATCTGCATATCTTCACTGGAGCTCCACGTCGAACACTGAACACGGCTTCCAAAGAGTTTACCTATTATCTATATTCTCCGGTTAGACATTATTTAACTAGGGGTCATTAAGGGGAACCATTCAGCCTTAACTATAAAGTTACGAAGCAGTGCTTTAGCCCTTCTGATTTACTTCGAATCAAACGCGCTGCAACTTAGACTGTTATTTTCGTCCGCTGCCAGTCGCTAAGGCAAACATATTAATTCCTAACACCGGATTTACACAGCGAAAACGCATCGCCCTCTTGCTTCTAGTCGCCTAAGGGAATCATTTAAATGGGTCACGGTTATATGGTATTTTACGATTTTAGGATTCAAGACTTCACGAGGAGGCGCTGGAGCACGAACAAATTTGGCCTCAATCCGTAATCACAAGCCGCAATGCGTAATATACAGTACACGTGCTACATCCTACAATCTGCGTTGCTCTCTTAACGAGAACAGGAGACCTCCGAGTATTAGGCAAGGCTCATCGAATGCACTTACTCCGGGTATTTTGCCTATAGGGCGATAAACAGACAGCCGGTTGTTGTCCTATCTGTTACTTTTCGCCATAACATCCAGACCATTTTACCAGTGAGATAAGCACTGGCTTAATTTTAAGAGTATCCCGAATTGCTGAGCAAGGATAAGTTGAATATTCAAGAATCTATTGAAGCCATGGAAGCTGGAGTGAATAAAAGCCTACCATCTGGAGGAGAAGAACCTTGAAAAACTCATACCTGCTTGAACAATATCGTGAATTGATTTCGTCTTTCAGAGAAACACATATGATACGTGTTGCCAAGAGGAGAACAATAAACATGAATAACACCCTATAAGGCAGCTGTAAATATTAAAGATCAAGTAAGAGTTGCAGCCTTAAATCAAACCAACGCATGTTGAACTGAACCGAGAGAACACAGCGTCGAGAAATGGCCGACGAACAAAGTTTCCATAGCCGAGCACATTCATATTTGAAGTTACTACACATCTGGTCGCAATACATCAGAAAAAGGCAAATAAATATGCCTAGCATTTACGGATATTTGTCAAATGGTTTTTTACCTTTGAATTTTTCACGTGATCGCAAATCAAGCCTGTGACTCCAGCACCTTTCAGTAAAACTGTAGTGAAACTCGAAGCCCACGAAGAAACATGAGCAAGACTGTCCACAGCGCCCGATCGTAGTGACGCACCAGGAAGCATATGCACAGGTGCAATCCGACGATCAACCGAACGTCTCTTTGAGCAATTCGGTCTGTACCGAGTAACAGTGCGCGTCAGAAGTCTGCTAAACGTGTTTGGTGAAAACACCTGTGAAATGCTGAGGAAGCTTACAGGCCCGAGTAAAGCTAACTACATCTGCAATTTCACACTTTCTACGTTGGCAGTTCCATCGTTGAGAATGTCTTCAGTCGAGTGATGTTTCACGCCATAATCTTGCAGGTTATCACTGATAAATTTAAAACGAAAAGTTAACACCTCAACTTATAAAGTACTCGTAATGATTGGCGTTAAGTAAGAAACTGTAAGTAAAGCGAACAAAAAAACTAACCTCATAGCCTGTAATTACTATGTGATATAATCGAGCAAACCCGCTATGTGCAGCTGAAGAATTTTGAAAATCTGACTACATTTCTCTTTCTAAAATCCAACCCCCTTACACCTGCAGAAATTCAGACCACGATAGCTCTCCTCAGAGAAAGCCAGCAAGCAACAACCTTTAGCTTTATACCAAAAGAAACAAAATCTAGTGCCTCCTTACCTCGGCAGCATTTAGAATTTTACACTGATTGCAAAAATTATTTTTTAAACCACATTTATCGCAAACCTTTTGGACTTTGGGTTTGAAGAAAAATCTCTGTAAATATTTCCATTAATCACTTGTCACTTTTTTCATGTCTGTGGCTCTGCTCACAGTAAATGATTTGTTCCTAAAAATTAATAATATATGAACATGGTTAGAAGAAAAACTGAAGACGACTCGGTGTTGGTGAAGCATTTTTTATTTGCAACTCGACGTTCATTTTTCTTCGTCTTCAATCAGGCTAAGCGACGTGATCTACTGCATTTGGGTGTTTTCAGTTTTCTGCATGGCTTAACCCGTGCTCGATGTTCTGGTCGTCGTCACCGAAATGACGATCGACACAGTTTCGAAAGCAGCCGGCCGCATTTCGATGGAAGTACAAGAAATGGCTGGGATGTGAGTTACTCGGCACCGCCACCGCTCTCGCCTAGCAGGGCGTTGCTGCCCAACGCGAGCAGACGGGTGTAAAAAAATTAATAACTAATCAATAACTAATGAATTGAGTATAAGAAATTTTTCAGCTACCAAGTGCGATGAGAAAAACGTTAAGAAATGCTTCCTTTTACAGGGCAGAAACAAGCCGACCCTGTCGTAGTATAAGAAAAGAGCAGAGATCGAAACTGGAAACAAGCAATTCGTGCTTTTTTAACCCCCACGGCGGTAGAACGAAGCTTTTGGGAAAGAACAATCAACAAACAAAAACCTAACCTCTCGGCGAGGACCACGATGCCGTCGTCGCAGTGTCAGAGGAGAGGCCTCAACTCCGAGTCAATAAAGGCTATCCGCTGACCACACGGGCCACTCGACCGTTGACCACTGGCCGGCAGACAGGACAACGGCGGTGTCTAGCCACCGCGTCTCTGCTACCTCTGTCAAGGTGACGACTACGGTGAAAAAGCGACAGTGCAGGATAAAAAATGACTTATCGGTCGTCGCTGTTGTTGACGTTATGACGGTGGTAACGGCGGTCGGTCGGTCGGTCGGCCGGCTGGCCGGTGAAGTTTCCCGGTCGCGTCGCGCAGGCCATCCGCTGACTGACGAATGAGATCCGGTAGCGGTCGCGACGCAGCACAGGCGGGGGCGGAGAAAAGGAGGTCCGGTTTGGTGCCCCTGGCGGCTAGGCCCGCAACTTAGTCACGTGTCCGACTGTGATTGGCTGACGGGCGAAGACGGGGCGTCGGCGG